GTTGCCAACATGGAGGACAGGATGTGTCCGAAGCACGAGAGGCTCCTGGAGCTGTTCTGTAAGAAGGATCAGATGTGCGTGTGCGTCCTCTGCACCGAGACGGACCACAGGGCTCACTACACAGTCCCTGTGGAGAGAGAATGGACAGAGAAAAAGGTGAGACAGATGCGCTGCCATCCAAATATAGGACAGGGACCAAATGTTTATCTGTGCTAGAAAAGATTTCAAGATATTTGCGGGTCAATTCTTGCCGGTTCATCAACTGCCTCCCCCCGGACCAGCTCAGACTTAGCTAAAGGAACTCAAGTGGAAAGATTCATGTCTTACTACTGCTGTTCTCTTTTTTGTTGGAGGGATAGTTTCAAATCCATTATCTAAAAAACCACTTGACCTAGGCCCTTCAAAATGTTTAGAGTAAAAAATTGGTATCACTGTTCTATAAATATGGACTCTTGCGAGTGCAGCCAGAGTTAACGTAAAATGATGGATGCTTGAAGTCACGATCGCTGACAGCAGATCTGGAGAACTGCAGAAAGCACAGTTATACAGATAGGAGACTGATATTTTGTTTACACCTTGTCATGTACGATTTACGCAGTATTTTTTAACATAGTTTAAATCAGGTGATTGGTGCCAAAGATAAAACAGATAAACTCTCATACTTACACACGGAGGACTAAATGGAAAAGCTTCAGACTTTCGTTAAACACACTTCTGCTTGAAGTGTTTGTTTGCAGGCTCAAATGTATTACTGTTACTTGTACATGGTTGAAGACTAGGATGGGACAGAGCCTTTCAATCTGTGGCTCCACAACACTCCAGTTTCATTTGCCAGACTCTGTGGACTCCTTCAAAAGGATTCTTTAGTTATTAATATGAATAAATATGACCTTTTTTGGAGATGCATACTACTGTATGCGCTGGAAGCAGAGCAAGATATTTTCATTGAATTATTTATGCACCCTCATTTCTCAGCAAGAAGTTCTCTTTTCTTTTTCTTTCTTTTTTTTGTCTTATCAAGAAAAAAGGATCAGCTCAGATGGCACCCAGTACACACCCTCTCTGCTATTTATAGTCAGCTAATTGTTCATCTTTAGTTAATGTCATAAGTTCACAGATTACCACATTCAAAATGGTGAAAGATATTCAAATGATGGTTATGATGCACATTTTTCATTGTTAATTGTTAATCGTATCGTTAGTAATGCACTGTAGATAGATAAACCACATAAAAAAAA